GAGAGAGAGAGAGAGAGAGAGAGAGAGATTAGAGCATCACTTAGACAACAGGTTTGGTTGAGTTCATCACCGGTTGAGGAGTTGTATTGATTCTCAACGCAAACCACTTTTAGCGAAGTTTTTTGCGAAAGTATTTTTAAACTAAATTTAGAGCGAATTTACACCTGTAGTGCAGTCTATACTATAGTTCGTTGTCTTATTGGATATAATATATAAGATTTCATTTAACCTATAAATCTATGGACTAATATTCAAATTCTGTTCATTTATTAGTTTTCATTCTCAAAGAATATCTAAATTACAAATGAAGCGATCGTTTAATTTGCTTATGTTTTATTAATAGAAAATAAATATTTAAAATACAATTTTTAAATTAGAAAAAATGAAATTCAATTGACATAATATTCAGTGAATTTTTAGTTTACTTTTATTTATTGAGTTTAATTATAAATTTGGTTAAAAATTTGAATTCAGTTTAAATTTCATAATTCATGAAATAAACACTTGACCTTTAAATGAGATCCAAATATGTTTAATATTAATATTAATTTATAGAGAATTTTAATTATTAACGAATTTAAATGTAATAATAAATAACACATATTTCTGAATTTTTTGGAAAAATTTGAGTTATAAGTTATAATTAGAGAATGAGTTTAAGATATGTATTAATAATTGATCAATGATTTAAAACTAATAAAAATTAATTGAATTAAAAGAGAAATAAAAAGAATGCATGCGATTATTAAAACACATTAAAAAGTATCAACATTTGAATTTTGGTTGAAATGAAACGATAAATATAATCATTAATTATAAGTGTTGGACATGTTATGCGGCAAAGCGTCTCTTGCCATCAGCCGAGCGGCCATTCTTCAGCACTTTGATCACTGACGGGATGTACTTCTCGTCGCCCTCTTTATTCTTAGGACAGTAGCGAATGGTATGAGCGGTGTCTCCGCCGCCAGACCTACAGTTGGGACAATCGTAGCGCCGAAGAACAGGACATACAGTGACGCCATTGGGGTCTTTGCAGACGTGAGAGTTATACACTTCGGGCGTCTCGTTGTTGTTCTTACAGAACTTGCAATGAGTTTCACTCTTTATTCTCCTTTTGTTTTTGCCTTTAAAGCCATAATTTGGCACTTCTTTGGCCTTAATTTGAGCGAAAGTGAAACTATTCCTACCGAAGAGCTCATAGGGTTGGGCTCCGATCGACGCTGAGCTCAACGATCGTGTCATTTGATTGACAACCGCTGGAGTATTGGTCGGTTGAAACGGCACTTCTCTGCCATTGGCCTCAAACTCGGTCTGAATGCTGTCCCGAATCTGTCGGTTGTCGTCAAACAGCGAGCGGGCGATCGACTCGAGAGTAGGCGAGCGGTCGGACGCGAAGGCCAACGGGCTTTGGAATGAAGTCCAGTCCCGACTGTGACTCTCAAACCATGCGATCGGCGAATACTTTTGAGGCGAACCAATTGGACTAATAATAGGCGAGTGAATGTCTCCACCACTGCTACTATCGGTGTCTGTATTTTCAAGTCATTATTTGAATGAAAAAATTAATTAAAAATTCATTCATTGAAATACTAATGCTTTTCAATACTTTTGGATTTTTAATGTCTCGTAAACAGGAAATGAAAGCATTTTTGAACAAAAAAGTCGGCGTTTGTTTGAACATTAAAATCCAAAAATGTATTTCAATAAAAATACATGTATTTGTTATACTGTGTATGCATTGGGTCTATAAAGCGCTTTATACTGTATTACTTACTGTATTAGTGTATTTTAAAAAGAGAGCAATTTTTAACTTTCATTGAAATATTTTTTCTAATATTTCACAAAATAGTGAATATTAGGAAAATATACGGCGATATAGTATTAGTGCTTTTGTCTATATCTATAGCACTATAGTCTATATCTATAGCACTATATCTATAGCACTCACACAAAAAAAACGTTTAAATGCATTGAATTTAAATCAATTGTTTGAATGACTACTTGGAGTGAAATGATAATTACCGTCGGAACTGATGGACAACGAGTTAGCTCTTTGACCAAATCCACGATTGAGGAGTTTATTAGACGTGCGGTACTCGTCCTTCAAAGCACTTATAGGGAAAGAGTTGGCGGACAAGTCGTTGCCCGACGACCATCTGTTCCAGTCTTGAGGTCGACACTGATTGCGGCCATCGATGGCACTACTAATCATCGGATCAAAGTTTGGCCAGAAATCAAATGCATAATTTTTGTACATTTTTGAAGTAATCGTTAAAATTGTGAAACAAAACTAAACAACAAAAAGTAGTGAAAGAAATGAATGAATGAAAGCTTTAAAGAGAAGTGAAGCAAAGCTTATGATCGCAACTATTGTTAACATCAAAGTGAACTTCAATTGCAGTCAAGTCTAAGCACTGCTTACATGTATGTGTGAATGAATGACTCATTGCTTCCAATGGGCAATCAGTGCTACGATTACTGCTATACTTTCCCTTCAATACAATCAATACTAGGGATGGGATAATACATGAAAAAAATTTTGCCATGTATTATTCATGTATTATTACATGTATATCATGTATT